ATAAATTCTAAGTTTTATTATTCATTATATTATACTATCCATTGAAAAGAATCATAGTTCATTATTATCATTAATTTTTATAAAATATTATCTGTTAAAAAGAATCATTTTGCATTATAAATGCAAAAAAAAATCACAATAAAACAATCAATTTATCTACATTTATTTAATTCAATTAAAATAATTTAGTAATACAAAATTACTAGTTACAAGGTTGTAAAGATTATAAATTTTATAATAATGATTTATTTATATATTCTTTAATGTATCATCAATGTTATTACCTTTAATATATTATTGCTACTTCATTAACTATTTTTGTTATATTGAAAAATTTTTTTATTAAAACACATAAATAGTACTTATTATGATTTCAAAGCTTACACTAGATGTTTTTGCATCGCATTGATATTTTAAAATATAAAATGGCGCGATAGAAATGTTCTTTATACCTTATACAATCACTGTAGATGACTCTAAAATTAAACAAATTTTATGTATTTATCAACAAATAAATTTATGTATAATATAATATCTTGATTAAATAAATCTTTAATATAAATAAAATTAGTGCAGAAATTTTGTTATACATAATATTAATTCTGATACATTTTTACTCAATATTAAGATTAACTATTTCTTACAAAATATATAAATCAACAAGGTATTAAGTAAGAATTTATCTTCAATAGTTTTAATAAAATTTAATATCTATTGACCAATTTTAAAACAGTACTTATTTTCAAGAAAAACTTGTTATTTATAAACTTATCTATCACAGATTAGATCAAAAGAGATTTAAAAAATAATTATATAAATTCTAAGCAGACACAAAATAAATATCGACTTCTTATTTTTCTTATACTAAATTTCAAAAAGTTCCTCTATCTAGAAAATTTGATAATCTGATTTAATACAACATGAAAATCGACAATGGTCTAGATATAAATAAAATAACTAGTTATTATATTAAGTTATTATATTTTATATATATATATATATATATATTGTAATAATTATGAATAAGGTGAAATTATTGAATAATAAGAAAAATTTATTGTTGCTATAATTTTCTAATCATAAATGAATTATTTGTATATAAATAAATTAAAATATATTATTTACTGAAATAAGAAAATTGTATAATTGTATATTTTATATGGAGATGTATAATTTTTGTATTTTTTTAAAATTTATATTTTTTATATTCATAAATATATTGTGTTTTAAAAAGTTAATTACTTTAAAATATGCTTCAATTCATTAATGCTTTTGGTATTTACGTGCACATATTTTTGCCGTTTGTTTTTTATTCGCATTCAATTTTTTCTATATGTATAAAAACATATATTATATAACATATATATATATATAGAAACATTAAAAACAAACTTATTTATTATCTTTATAATCTACTACAGTGATTACAATTATTACTTTATCCTTTTTTATCACATAATAATAAATCTGATTTATTATTTTCTATTTTATTGAATTAAGATAAAATATTTAAAAATTTCAATAATATTATGTAATATAATTTTAATTAGAAAAAAATAATATGTAAAAAAGGTAAATATTTAGATACAAAAATTTAAACACATAATTTATATTTGATATCATTTAAAGATCTTTTATTTGTAAAATTAATTTTTTGTAAATTTTTTTTTCATTCTAAATATATAACTAATTTAAATGTAATATTATTTGTTTTACATCAATGATATTAATGAAAATATCATAATAAATACTCTTTTCTTTTTGTAAAGAAAATAGTATCTAATATTTATATATTTTTTCCTTACATTCATAAACGAAGGTAATAAAAATAAAATATTTATTAACTATTCTACATATGAACTCTATTTATGACTGAAGTTAAAAAACGTTTGTCTTTAACTATTATATAATACAGTTTACATTTTATAATCAACTTGCAACGTGCAATAACTCTTATAATTAAGAATTTCCTTTTCAGTTTGTACAGATGGTTGTATGTTTTTTAAAGAATAATGTATAAATCTTAACTTTCTTTTAACAAAAATAATCGCGATTTTATTTTAAAGCAAACAATAAAAATAAAATGTAATTAATATTGAAAAAATTTCTAGATACAAATAGAAGCAACATTAAAATAGTATATATATAAAAAGCATAAAATAAAAGGATATTTGAATTTTATTTAGCAACTGGCATATGATGTGTACTTTACATTTTCAGTCAACAACATATTTTATTGTGTACATTGCAGCTAATTAATATTTGATTAATTACATCTTGTATAAAAATTGTACACTCTTTTTTGATAGAGCGAAAAACAATTACTTTTTCCAATAAACAACGAATACGATTTCAGTCATTTACATAGAATATGAATAATATTTTAAATACTTACTTATCAAGGACTATATTTTAATATCTAATTTATTTTCAATTATTTGCATAAGAAATTCGAATGAATTTTTAAATTATTTAGAAAAATTATTAACAATACATTCCACAAAATTTTCTCTTATTTTTAAAATGCTTTCAAAATATTCAAACTAACTTTTATAGAATATATAATTCATTTTCAATACATTTTAGTATCAAGAAATTACAAATTTTATTTAACTTTCAGTTTAAGAAAATATATTTTTTAATATTTAATTATTTTATAAATCTTTTTAAATTATTTTTTTTACAAAAGAATGCGTTTGTTTTTAATAAGTAAAGTTGAATATTTTTTCTATTATTATTAATTTTTAAATTTCAAAAATATCAAATAATGGTTATTGTTAAAAATATAAAAAACAATTAATATGTACAGGCATTATATGAATAATACTATACATTACTGAAAATATATTATGAAAAAGCTAATATTAGTTAATAATCTATAATGTATACAGATAAGTTTCTGTTAATTGTAGTAGTTAAATAAAACTTATAATATTCTATCAATATGTAAAATATATATTCAACATATTAAATAATATTGTACAATTTTAATTAATGTATTCAATTAATATAGAGGCAAAATAAATTAATGATACTTATCTTTTAAGAAGTGATAAGACTGTTTTATAGTAAATTAATATTTTATATATCTTAATTCCTCATACAAAATGATATACTTACTATATACTTATAAATATATAAAATTTCGAAGCCTGTTTAAAGTTAGATGGTGATGTCAGAATCAGATTTAGTTTTTTTTTGCAATCATCATTTAGATTTAAACGATGTAGTTATATATTTTTATTTTAATGTGATTTATGTCTTTATTAATAAAAATGGATTTTTTACTTCACAATAATTTTACAATAAATAATAATGGTTTTATTATTATTAAGATATGTTGCAGCATTTGTCAATAGACCAATCAGTATCTAGGAATACTGTTATTAACCATAAGAGATAAAAGGTACTTTCAAATTGATATCGACAAATACATAATAAAATAGAAGTTCTATATTAAGATTAATACAGCAATACAAACTGTACGAATTTCATAATATGAACAGTTGTCATAAAGCATACATGAAAATACTTTCTGCAAAATTAGACCAAATTACATATGGAAGAGTTATAATCAAACAATAATAATAAATAACCTTTTGAAGCTGAAAAATACGTTTAATAACCTGATAACAATCCGGGTATTATCGGACTAAATTAATTTAAAAAATTTAATTATTAATAAGTGTTGAAAATAAAATAATTATTATAATATAAAATTATTAATAATATTAAAATAAAAATATTCAGAGTTTATTCATTTAAACAAGGGAAAAATAGTTGTGTATAAAACTAACAAGAAAATATCAATTATTGCACAATTAAATCCGTGATAAGGAAAACTTCTGTTAAAGAATACATTAATTTGACTTTAAAAATAATATTTATAAAAATCACATAATTAATTCACTTATTATTTATATAATCACATATGATTAATCTTAAAATTCTTAAAGTAAATAATACCGAAATATGTGATAAAAGTAACGATACGATTATATGATATTATATACCAAGTCACAAATAAATTTGATTGCAATGAGGATAATATAAATGAGCTAAATTTTAATAATTTAAATCATACATGTATAAAAATTACATTGATATAAAAATTTAATTGTATAAATCATATGTAAGCTACCGATTTGTTATTAACTGAAAAACTTATAATAACATGATTGAATATATAATTAACAATAGTAATATTAATTAATATAAAACAATATAAACATCTCTATATAAAATCCAATAGAAAAATAATTGCAATTAAAGTAAACATTATTCAAAATAGTAATTCTTCAAATAATAAATAATGTAGATTAAAAATTAAAAAATAAAGATCTTAATATTGACATAAAACATGTATATATATATGTATGAGAATAATTAATATATTGCAATACAATTTTAATTAAATTCATACAAAAAATTGTATAAAGAATATAGATTTATAATAGCGATTAAAATATCAAAATTTAATAGTAATTTTTATTTTAAATATAAATATTAATTGTATATAAATTGATATAAAATTATAAAACAGACTTAATATTAAATTATTTTATCATTTTAACTTTCTTTTTTATAATTGAATAGTCAATTAATTTTCTTTTATTAATTCAGAAACTCTAATGGGCTATTTGATATTTTTTATATTGTTCAAATTTAGTAAAACAGAAAAAATTAGTAATTCAGATGAATAGATCCAATTTTTAATGTACGATGGTAAAATAATACATTAAAAATAAAAAATTATTTATTAAACTATATTTTTAAATTCTCTTGAAATAAAATTTAATTTTTATATAAAACATTTTAAAAATAATTTAACTTCAATAGGTAATGTAAATTTATATTATATCAACAATAAAAATTGAAATCTAATTTACATTTATTGTAATTATTACATAAATAAACATATAAATTTACTTCATAGTTAACAGGTTCAGATATAGGAAAAGGTATATATTCAAAATTTTTAATCCAATATTGTATTATAATTAACTATTTGATGAGACTAGTTCTTTCATGACAATAGTATTTCAATGTATCTTGCTGTAATACATAAGTTTAATTTTTTAAGCTGATTTCTTACATAGTTAATTCCTGTAAAAGAAAATAAAAATATATTTATAATATAATCATAATTTTTATCAAATATACTTAAAATTAATTAAAATCAGTCTGCCAAGATCTTCTTCAAAATTGTCTCTGAATAAAAATTGAAACAAAACCTTTTCAGAATTATCATCAACATTTTTTAAAAGCAAATTTATAGACTAAAAAAGTAAAAAGTATGTACATATAAACGAAAATTTATAAATAAACAAATTTACCATTATTGCATTAACAATGTCATTTTTATTATGTTTAAGAGCTTTAATAGCTTTCCCTCTAGAAGCAGTAGCTTGACTCATAACAAGTTCAATATCATTTTCATCAACTCCAGTTTCATCAACTTCTTCTTCAGATTCTTCCTGTATAGGGGCAACCACCTACAAATTTCAAATTTATATCAAATTTGAGAATATTTTAAATCAATATCATTAAATCATAAATTAAAAAATTTACTGTTGTGCTACCACCGGCTTCAGCAGCTGAAATAACAGGTGGTTCTTTGAATTTTTCTGCAGCTGCTACTTGTGCCTGTTGACTCAGATCTTCAATCTATAAAATAAATGCATATTTGATCAATTTAATTTTAATACATTAAATGAAAATAATTTTATTTGTGTACTTTAGCTTCACCAAAAATTATGTATGTGTCTGATGCTGGATTTTTAAGTACATCAGGCTTATTAATAACAAATAGAATATTTTTTGATTTTCTAATTGTCACCCTGTTAACACCTGGAACCTAAAAATTTACATATTTAAATTTATATTAATTATTTCCTCATTACTTTATATATAAAACATAAAATACTAAAGTATCTTAAATGGATAGATTAAATAGAAGTTTATCGAATGATATATAACAAAATAATTCCAATTAATTAACAAGCATACTTATTAATTTAAATAGAAAATATTAATTATGCTTACAAATTTTAAACCAAGTTTACTCATTAATTTTCTAGCCTTTTTTTCTCCTCGACTTTGTTTGGCTTTAGAAATCATATCATTAGGTAAACTGGAAACATTTGCTGCATGAAATCCAACATTACTGCTTGTACCCACATCTTCCAATTCTGGAATTGTATCATCTGAATCTGATTCAGTTCCAGAACCATCGACTACTGTTTCAGTCTTTGTAACTTCCGATGATGCAGCTTTATCAAATTCTGTAAGTTCTGGCATTTTTTAATGTTATCTAAAAGACAATATATCAGTTTAGTCCCAATTAGATATTTGAAATATATACTTAAATTAGTTAATGAATAATTATTTAATCTTTAAAGCCAATAATTTATTTTATTAAAAAATGGATTTATTGGTATCAATTTATTAAATTTTACAAAGATATTTATTAAGTAATGCTATAAAATGTAAAATATGATGAAAGTGACTTAAATATATGATTATCCATGTTCATAAAACACATTTATTATTTATTAGTATCAACAAGTTTCTCTTAGATTCATTTGGATATAGTTAGATATAATTGAAGAACAAAATTCTATTATTAAAAAATATAAAATAAAAATTAGAATTTAATAATAAGATTTGTCAAAAATTGCACTTCAAATTATTACTAACAAAATAAAAATATTTAAAATATTGATTTTCTAATTTGAATACTATATGTTGCTATAAATTTTTTTATGAAATGATAATAACTAACCAAAAGACAAATGTATAAAAGAAGTAAAGGCAAAAGATTTAAGATTTTATTCAAAAAACTAATTTTTAAAAGAGTAAATCTAAATTAATATACCATAAAATTTTTAATGTGATTATTAAAACTAAAAAAAATGTATTATTCATGTATAAATTTTAATTTATTTATACACATACCTTATGATGTTAAAAATATTAATGGATTTGTGTGAATTAATATAAAATAAAAACGTTGGAGCTGTTGTAAGGAATAAGGCAACGCAAGATTGAATACTTATCTTGATGCACATACCCTATACTGATTGGCTGTTGTACATAATTCGTTTCATATTTTATAAGATAAGAATTAGAAACAGAAAAAGAACTAACCCATTTAAAATTTGAAATTATCAATTTTAATAATTATGCAAACGATGACACCAAGATTGAACATTTTAAATAAAAATGTGTTGTTAAATTAAGAACATAAAGATTTATTTATTAATTTCTAACTATTTTATTAACTATTTAATTTATTTAACTATTTATTTATCTAACTATTTAATTCTACTAAATGCATTTTGAAGGAGATAAAATTTAGTTGATTGTACTAAAAGAATATAAAAATATAAAGTATCATTTTAATTATTAATTTTTGCGTAAAATTTTTTTATTTAAATATCGGTACGATACATAATTTCGATAGTTCTTCAGATTTTTATTAATCAAATTTTTCTTTTTCTTATATATATATTGCTTTAAATGTGTATTTTATTAAAATTGTAATTGAATACAAATTAAAAAAAAAACTAATACATTAAATTTGAATTAAAGAAGCATTGTGTTTGATTAAAAAATTGCTACTTTTTATGTAATAATTTGAATGGCTTTACATAATTCATTATGAATAAGCGTACATATGCAAAAGTCCAATGTACGTTGAGCATTCTGTATTATTCGTCATTTCTGTAATTAATCTGGTCTACACTTTTATCTGTATTATTAATATTAGTATAGATTTGTTTATTACCGTATTCTGTGAAGTATTGAAACTAAAAAATATACTATGGCTTTGATTACAATACCAATTTGCATTAACTTTGCAAATCTACATTTCTTCTTTCAATTTTTGAATCCCTATTATTGTTATTTATCAATAAGTAAGAAAATATACTGTATTTATAAACTTGTACAAGATATAAACTGTATTTATATCTTGTATTTATAAACTTTGTATTTATGACGACCTTTAGTTTATATTTGTATAAAAATTAATTCCACTAATCTGGCTCGAAGAACCGAACGTATAGAATTAACTAATTAAAAATAATTAACGCATGTATTTCTTATTGCTGTTTATTCCATTTACTTTCCAATTTATGGATTATTATTCTTGAGGAGATTATAAATGAAGCTTTATTATTCTCAATAATGAATGTGGCATTGCGATATATTTCTATTGGAGAACCAGAAAATGATAAATTCCTTATTTCCTGGACGTAACGGGTGAAATAGTGATTTACTGTGAAAAGAGATAGGTTCTTGACACTTATTGAATATTGCCACTTGAGAGGTTATGATCGTTTGTTGTGCTCTAAACAAACGCTACAGTTCTTGTCTGCGTCGTGATCATGGCACGTGTTGCTGTTGCCTCTAACTAGTGAGCCGTGTGAGTGAACAAGAGCCTGAGATAGAAGTTAGAGAAATGGGATTGGGAGAACTGCTATTTTATGGATGGGTTTTACTATGGTAGTAGAGACTGTTTTTAATGTTGCAATACCCGTTAGTCCGTTCTTGCCGAGTTATATTGTTGAAGGTGTCGGCATGATCAACTCCCGAATGGTTAACCAGTCATGGGATGTAGCTCTGAAGAGTGGTAATCATCTTATTATTATTTTATGGCACGAATTCTTCTTTGTCGTATTCATAGAATATATTGGAATGAGATTTACTTGACGAGGACCCTTCCTTCAAAATTCGAATATTGTTTTCATATGCATACTAACGTGAGTGGTGTATGCTGTGAGACGATGGGACATGACCCATGCGTAGGTGTGCTTGTAGCTGATGGGGTTTTCTGCTCATCATAAAGTTCGGCAGCACGTGGGTTGCCTTTATCTAAATATCCTTATTGGACTTTCCTTTGACCAGTTATGCTTATGAGTGGGTGGAGAAGCTTCATGTTTTCTCCTTAGCCATGCAATAATTTTTTGCATGGGGTGGTTGACTGTTTTCAACTGATATGGCACTTCTTGCTTTATTCTTCTCTGCATAGGATTTTATCGAGGCCCCAAACGTTATTTCAATCTATATCTACTCATACATTTATAATTGTCTGTAGCAATAGATGCTTACGTCGGTGTATCCTTGATATTACTATACTTATTGCTAGGCAACTGGTGTTGTTCTTTTCATATGCTTCATGTTTATAGGGATTGAACATCCCCTTTAGGTTTTACAGATCTTGATGCGCTTGTTGACATCATGATTGTCTGCAGCTTCTTGCCTCGTGTGGTGGCTCTAATTTTATTTGTAAGAAATTGAGCTTGTACCTTGTTGGTTTTGCGGAGTAGATTCGTAGTGTGCGCTGTATGGCGAGAATTAGCTTACTTGTTTGAGTATATCGTGGGAATGAGCTTGAGTGTATGAATATGACCACGAGCTTGTTTGTCATGGATATAAGCCAAAGCTTGATGCTTGATTGGGTCGCGGACATGAACGCGAGCTAGGAGACTTGAAATTGTATCGCGGGCATAAGCGAGAGTTAGTACATGTGAGAGCATGCCAAGAGTTTGTGCGTGTCTTGTTCTGATTGGGACGAGAAGCACAGAATCGAAACTTCTAATGACAGTTTCCAGTGAAACTGTAGTGTTTTCTCTATGGCTAATATTGCCTGTAAATAATCAAAACTATGCTCACACTCCTGCTTATGATGTGCTTATTTTGGGAATGTCAGCACTCTTGACTTTTTAGATAAATTGACTGTTGCTCCAGACTCTTTTTGCTCTTTTTAACCTGCTGGTAGAGCTGCGTGCAATAATTAACTGTGTCGTCTATGACATGTGTTGCTACGTAGTTTGCTCTTGCTGGTGGCACTATGGCTAGTTCGTAAGTAATTGAAAACACAGTCGTTGATTGACAGAGTAGATCCGTAGTGTGCGCTGTGAAGCGCGAAGAATTAGCTTGTTTGAGTGTGTCGTGGGCATGAGGACGAACTCGAGTGTATGAGTATGTCCACGGTTGGCAAGATGCGGCGAGTTGAGAACAATGTAAGCATTGTCTTAAAATGCCGATGCGCACGTACGCCGATTGCCCGATGTCGCACGTACGCCGATTGCCCGATGTCGCACGTGCTGAGGTTTTGGGTTGCAGTGAAAAGTAGGAAACATTTTTTTATGGTCAAGAGTTTAACGTACATTTAGCACTTTCAATTGTTCTAGTACAAACAGTTAGGTCATTAACGCGTCAAACAATGAACGCATTGGCAATGCGAAGTAACTAGCATGACTTATTTTCAGGATTTTCCAGATGTACTGACCATTTCGTGTCTCCGACGTTAGTGAGAGGATTTTCTTCAAGCTTTATGATAGAATTTAATGACATTCTATCTTGATACAAAATGAGCAGGAGTTTTACTGAAGACTAACGACAATTTAATTATGTTGTTTTGGCAGATGTTTTATTGCATTGAAAAAGGTCTCGCAAACTCGAACAATATTCGATTTCAGCTAAATCAATCTAATCAGATACAGTGTAATAGTTATGTTAAAACATTTCACTTTATACTTTACCTTTCTACAATGTCAATAATTTATTGGTAAAATGATCTAATAAAATATTGATTATATTCAACATATTATTAATTATATTCTATTATATATTATTTTTTTATGTTGTTTTTTGTTTATTATAGATTTTCTCTTATGATCATAGATTTTCCCTTGTGAGGCAATTTTTTTGTTACTTTATTTTTATTTGTATAAACGATTTAATTTTGTCACTCTTAAACTCTTTTATTTTCAAATTTCACCATTTCACCTTTCCTTATTTTATCAACCCTTATCTCATCATACTATCCATATAATCATGTAGGTAAGAAAACTAATACATTCTATAATATATTAATAATTTTTTACTATTATAGAATTTTTATGTCTGTTATCTACCTTTGAGTAAATGGGTAAAGGTAGAATTATAATATACAATACATATAACTTATAGTAATTTGAATACTCAATGGTCTGTTATTATGAGAAACAGATTCCTTTATAGGTATTTTTTATTTTTCAAATTTCTTTTATATCAATAGATATTCTTTTTCAACAGTAAAGAGTTAGTGTGTAGTACCTCGTAGGAGTGCTCATCATCTGATTATTGATCTTTTACCAGAAAATGAGTCAACGTTTTATTATCCACATTTATTTGGAAAAGTAAGATAATAATATTAGATAAGATTAAAATTAAAATGATACAAAGCACTCAATGCACATGTCAAAGCAAAAGAGTATCAAGAAAAAATACTTTAAAGTTCTTTCTTAATGTCAATTCTAGATAACTTGTAACAAAATATTTTTCTATACTTTAATGTATGTTAAATATAATTTTGAAAAACGATTAATTATATATAATAAATATGTTAGATATAAACAATTATATAAAAAGTGTATTTCTGCTCTTCATCATATACAACAGTTTCCATTTCTCTTATTGACTAATCCAATCAATCCACAAGAATAAAACCATATTAGATAGCGAATAAGGTTTTTCTAAAAAATATATTAATATGCCCTATTTTTTTATGTTGGTGTGCTTTGTTTAACATCATAATTTAATGTATATAATGTAGTTATTACTAGAATATTTAAAATATATTTCAATTTACAAATGTCATTTTTTAATAAATTATTAAAATTTATATTTTAATTTTAAATTTTAAATTTTATAATTAAAGTATCAGTAATAATATTTAGTTATCAACATTGTTTTTAAATAACTTTGTAGCTGTTCTTTTGCAATTATTTTAGTATATTAAACAGCATTTAACCGAGTTTAAAAAATGCATTTTGTTATTAATGATGTATATTCATTATCAATCATAGAATTTTAACATGTACATCATAATATTATTGACAAAATTTCATTCCAGTATTTTATAAACCAATTGAAAATGCTACTCAAGGTTTTTCTTATTTGAATGTAATAATATAATGGTCTAGAGAATATTTAATATGTATAATAAAACAGTTTGAATTATTATTATAAGTAAATTATTATTCTTGTATTATTTATTTTATATTTTACTCATTTAATATAATGAAATGACCAATCATTCCATTTTCTATTATACAAATTAATTTTTATAATTAAACAAAAAAATTCTATTTTTATTTGAATTTAATACAAATTTGAAGTAGCATCAAATAAAAATTATTATCATGTGCACATACATACACAATGTAAAGATTAAAGAAAAACACTAATCCACTAATATGAATATTGATATGAATACACTAAATTTTCATCATTATATAAATTATCTAAAATAAAATAAATCCTTTAATTCAATTTAAACTGCAATTTTCATTAAAGGATTTATTAACTAACTGTTAATATTAGATTCATTCATTTTTTATAGCAATATTTTTATATATATCTACAATTTTTTTAGATTCAGTATAAAAACAAAAAATAATTATAAAAAATTTAAACTATTTAAACTATTTTATTTTATCATTTTTATTTTAGAATTATAACAATTAAAATATTAGGCTATTATTATATACCTAGTGTTAAGTACCTTATTTATAAAGATAACAAAGTTTATTGATTTTATTAAAACTAATTTTAACATTTTTTTCACTGTATAATGTAATTTTGAAAATAAAATTTTGTTTTTTTATTTAACTTCTGTTAGCACGATTACCCCAACCTCGACGATGTGTATCTTTATATTCGTCCATTGCTCTAGCTCTAGCTAAAATTTCAGAATCATCTTTCTCAATCTGTTGTTCTTTTCCATCTTCACTATCATTTTCTAAATTTTCATCAGTTATACCACTTGCTGTATTTTGTAAGTTTTTAGATTCAATTTGATTTCTTTGAATTTGTGTAGGCCATCTAAATAAAGAACAATTAAATTTAAAATAAATCAATAATTGCTTTTATAGTATAATAAATATAAATAATAATATTCTAATTAAAACATAAAATAATATTATATTATAGTTATGACTTACTCTCCAGATTTAATTTTTTTATCATAAAATTCTTGTACTGTTAATATTGGAAGGCTTGGATAACCAGCACCAAAAACTTTTTTTTGCATAGCATCTCGAGTGATAATAATTGGTTGAAGTTTAGTAGATATGCTACATTTTTCATTTGCTTCATTCTTTAAATCCACATCTTGACTATTATTTTTCATATGTTCCAAAATAGGCCTTTCCAAAGCTAAAGAACTTAATTCATTAATTGATTGATTTGCAAAAACTTTAACAAGTGTAACAAAATATTTCCGTTTAATTTCATCATCAATATTAGGATTATACAAATTTTGTTTTAATGTGTCTAACTGCTTTTCAAGTTCTTTTTGATTTTGGTATCTTTGAATTTTATTATTTCTTACATTTACCTAAAAGAACATTAATTCACAAATAAAAAAAGATAAAATTACAAAATATTATATTTAAAAATTCTGAGTAATAACCATATCTATAATTATTTCTGCATTTGATTTTTTATGTAGAGTAGCAGTTTCTCGCTTACTTTCATCTTTATTTACTTCAGAAATTTCTATATCAATCAATCCATATGACTTCAATCTCTTTAAAAAATCTATAAAATAAATTTCAGCTATATCAACAATATGAATTCGATTATTTGTTCCACAAACTTTTGTTGTAAGAATTCCAAGTAACGCAGGTAATAATAAATATTTTATATTTTCAGTCGATATTTCTTCAAAATTTTCATTATTACTAAACATATTAACTAATGATACTAGTCTTGTGGTATTTTCAAAAATATTCATTGTTTGTTGAATAGTTAACTAACAAACAAATTAATAATTATGAAACATAAATTTTATTTTATAAAAATATTTTTTAACTTTTTATTAACTACATAGCATAATATTTAACTATAAATAGGTTTTATTATAATTTTATTGTATGTAATCATAATAAATTGAAATTGAGTTTATTTTCTAAAATCTATTTAAGAAAATTTTTCTGTTCAAGCAACAATTTTATAAATATAAAAAATCATTCATATTGATTTTATTGTAGGTAATGATTTTTTTTTTAAGAAAACAAAAACTATATTTGAAGTTATAATTTTCTTTTATTTCAACTCATATGTATAAAATATTTAATAATATTGATTTTATATATTATTGATATCAATTAAACATGGACTAAAGTCAAAGAAAAATAATAAAAAGTTAAAACACATTAAACATTCATTTTTGTTTTTTAACAAACCTGAATTTTTGAACTGTTTGTTGGTTCTTGAGTTTTATTTAAATTATTGTACATCTCAAAACCAGAATCAAACATTTCTGATATATTATTAGTATCTGTTAAATATTCTTCTGGATCTTTATTCCATTTATTTTTAGAATTTCCTTCTTGTGAATCCATATTCAACTTTACACAAAAGCAGAATATTAAAAGCACTTTTGAAAAAATAAATATAGAATGGTATTTTTTACCAAAGATAGGAAGTTCCAGACTATTTAAATTAAGTGGAAATTCCTAATAAAAAAAATATAAAATATTCCATAATTAGTTACTGAATAAACCTTGTTTTATATAATCTAACGCTTTTTAGTTAAAAAAATAGTTGATTCATTAATTAAAAATAATAAAGATTCAAGAATTAATTAATTTTTTCCTTTACAAAATACATAAAATATTTATCAATTTTTAAATTTAATTATTATTTAATAAAAAATGGATCTTGATTAAATCGTAAACTTACAATAGTATCTGCGCATGCGTGTATAGACGAAGCAAATTTGTAATGAACTATAAGCACAGATACTTTTTACATTGGTGATGATCAATGGACATTGAAGTACTTTTTAAAAAATGAATCATATTAATAGTTTTATAAAAATTTAAATAAGAATATAAATATTCAAATAGAGGTTTACTGGTTAAAAAAGTTTATTATATAAATTTAAACTTATTTACTTATATTTAAATTTTTATAAACTGAATTGATTAAAAAATATATTTTATCTATTTTTCAATTAATTTATTGTATTTATTCATCTATATATTATTCAAATATTAATACTATTATATAAGCAACTCCAAAAATTTTAACTATAAAAGTTAAAAAATTTTTTAATTTGTGTTAAAATATAAATGTAGGCAAATTGAATATGATCATTTATATTGTTGCGATTAAACAAATATAAAAAGAAAAGTAATTGGATCAGACCGTAAGTAAAGCCTTTTTAACCTCCACGGCTATTAATCCAGTTTATCAAAATCAAAGTAGGAGAAAAATAAAAACAATTATCAATGAGAGTTCGGTTAATAGATAAAAATTTTTACATTAAAGTCTATTTTATGATTTATTAATGTTACTGTAATATACATAGATACAAATGAGTTAGAACGAGAGATTCATCTAATTGTATTAATTTTATTAATTCTATTTGGTTTAAGACTTGTCTCTTAAATTTATGGACCAATATTTCTTCATTCCTTGCTCATTATTAATTTGGCAATTTGTTGTAAGATACATATGATTATAGACAATGACTAGTTCATGGCTAGATCGTTTTTAATATAATGCATATTCATTTATTTTACAATTATTCAATAAATATTCCTTTCTACAAATATGTGTAAAGTTTTCATTATATATTTTTCTTGCATTTCTTGAATGTGATTTTGTACTTTATCATTTTACTCCTTTGTTTTCAATACTTAAAAGAAATTTTTTTAACTTAAACTTTAGTTTATTATTTAATTTATTTAGTACTATTTATAAAAAAATTTAAATTGTATTTATTATATATTTTACATTTACAAGACGTTATATCTTATTGTTTAAACAAAAATGTCTTCTTGACATAAACGAATATAAAATCCTTATGAAAATGTTAAAATTATACAATGTTCAATAAAATTAATGTTTAAATTAATCTGATGAATTATATTATATAATTATATTATAAAAAGAAAATACTAAAAAAATTTTTAATGTAAACTTTATTTTGTAATAATCTTGTTTATTTAAAATATAAATTTCTAATCTAAAATGTTTTAACAATTTAATTTTCAAATAAGGATTACTATTTATTTTTTTGAATATTATTTTATTTTATTTGAACTATATATTTATATATTATTTGAATTTTATTATATTATTGAATATTGCTTTACATTAATTTTTCATTAATTTTTTTATTTTACCATAATGTAGTGTGCCCGAGAATTCAATAATTTTAAAAATTTTGCAGAGTAATAGACGCAAATAAGAATACACGATTCCTGCACAATAAAACATTTTTTCACACATTTTATACATATTAGACTCTATTACTATGTTACTTTGCACAATCCAAATATACATATTACTTTCGTATATAATTTTATAAATATTTTAATAGATTTATAATTTGGTGATACGGAATGGATGAATTACAAAAATTAAATCTACAATAACAACAAACTTATTAATTGAGATATATGGTAAATTTTAATATGTTTTTTTAATTTAATGGCTATAATTTAAGCAATTCAAACAAGTTTGTTTTCTGTCTGTTGACAGTTACTTTGGTACAGCTAATGTGGAACACAACATTAAACATTTTTAGTAAGTACGTTAGTATAATAAAGAAATTTAACATTTTTTTTTGTTGAGCTAGATGTACTTGATGATCAACAATTTTGGAAAGAAAATATAGGCCTGTTTAAAAACGTTATTAAATGACAATGGTATTCAAAAAATCTGCTTGGTTACTTATATATACAAAGTCATCAGAATTGTCCAATGATGTCTCTGCTCTTTTCTATAATTTTGTTAAACCTAAGTATATGAAATATAACACTTTTGATCCGACATCTTTGACTTTTAAAGGACCGAATTGTTTCAAGAACTAATTAGTTAAAAAACAATCTAATTAATACGGAAAAACGAATAGAATAATAGAAACTATTTTATTTATCCTATCAGTATGTTGTAAAAAAATCTTATGACTACAATTCGGATGATTTTCATGTCTCACCCAAACGCAATAATTATCGAAGATCAAAGAAAGTATTAATATATATATAATATTAATAGCATTAATATATATAATAAATTCATCATATTTATTCTGAATATAAAAGCAACGATTGTTTTATTTACATTTACATGAATGGTGGTTGAATAATAATGATTATGATATTAATCAGTACTAATTCTAATATGGAATGAACACATTTTGAGATTTTTTCAAATAATTTACTAGAATTAAATAACAGAAAAGAGAAGAAAAATAATTATGAATTTATTTTCTCTACCGCTACCTATCTGTATAATTTCTTACTTCTTATGTGTAGCTATTAGATCCTAATTATTATTTTTGGAAATTAATAAGATACAAGAATATATTAAAAATATTTCCAATAAACAACCAAGTAAATTCACAATATACTATATAATTTTTAATATAAATAATTATAAAGACAAAGTAATTAATTTTAACAATGGGAAATATATTATTGGGTTAATTCTTTTCTGCATAAACATATTAAAATATAATTGGTTTTTATTTTTACAAAACCTTTTAATTTATAATTCAAATGTTATATACAGAAATTAATGATTGGATTGGTGGCTTATTCTGGCTAATATAATCCATTAGTTTACAGAAGAATTTCTCAATCATTGGCTTCAATTTAGTAGGGGAGCATAAAATTAATCCATTTTTTAACAGAAAATGTATTTTGTTTTAATTTAATTCACTTAACGAGAAGATCTTCACTAAGACAAAATGTTATTATTTTAAGATAAAATTACTATTAAAACAGTAATAATAGTTTAGAAATCATGTTTAAAATGTTAATAATACTTATTGATTATGCAAAGTAATGATCAATTTAAGAAACCATATCGATATTTAAAAAAAAAAAATAATGATTTTGGTAGTTTAAAAGCTTGAAAACTACTAAGATGACTGGAAAACTAATCTTAAAAAGGTATTTAACACATTTACACGCTATACAGTAAACTATTTTTTTTAAAGTTTAAACATTCATATTACTTTATACATATAATAAAAAAGATGTTATATACCAAATATAAACATTATATAAAAATGTTTAACTATTTTAATAAACTATTTTTATTTTTGCTGTGAAAGAATAATTCGCTTTATGTATTAAAAGTACAAAATAAAAAGGAGTAATAATTTATGAATTCAATTTATAATTTAATTGAAATAAAAAAATTAATGTGTACAAAAGTAAGAAATTCATTGAATATATTTGTACATAAGGGAGAGTAAGAGCAATAGATCGTAAAAGAATATGCTAGTCAACTTGCTTGCAAATAAGTTAAAGTACACTGAATAATATACTCAGAAATGAAAGCAGATGCTTGATATTATATTAGAGAATTCAGTCAAATTTGGCTCTAGTTACACTTCCTTTAGGACAAATACTATCTCGTAATTATGATCTCTTTAATTTACAAAAGAGATAAATAAGTATCAGATACATTGTTATTTATAAATGTATAACAAGTGCCTGTATTTATTTATGCTGTAAAATGTAAAATATAATTAGTCGAATATAATAATTATTTTATAATAATATTTGAGTTAACTATAAGTTGTGAATGCGATAAATTTTGATAAGAAAATACTGTTGTAATTATTACTATGATTAAAAATAAAATTTCGAATTCTCCAGCCTATTCTTTAATATAAATTCTATATAAAATAGGAAATACTATTTTTATGTACTATTTAATTGTTTGGTACTACTTATTAAGTACTCTGCTATTAAATACTACTTACTATTTAATAGTAAAAATTGACACATCTTTCTATTCTTTTATTTTATATACACTAATATGTCTCAATAGATACCCTCATATAAAAGAAAAAGGGTTATTGATGATTGAATCACTTCGCAATTAATCTATTAATATTGACATTATTCAATAAATATATAATCATATGTATTTATAAATAATATATGAAAATATCTAAGTTAATTTACCAGTTGCATGTTCAAAAGTTCTTTGAAACAAAAAACCATAAAACGAATAATATAGAAAATATGATTTCAAATGAGTAAAATATTAATGTTTCTTTAAAGTTTCTAAAATGTTTTGAATTTTGAAATAAAGTGGCGAAGAACTTGCAAATCATTTAATTAAAACAGAATTGGCAATATAGAAAATAATTCATTATTTCGAATTCCCAAGAATTTGCTTTATATTTTAGCACATCATGTTACTAATGACAATATTATATAAACAGACTTCTAATCTATTTTCAGTTTAATGAAATTTTGAGTTTATATCTAGTGTTCGAGATTGGAGCAACTCCGACACAAGACACAAGATTAACACATTTGAATGCTGCACCCACGCACATTTAGTACTTACATGTTCACAATTCATGAATATATCAATTGTAGAAAAACAGAATTTAGTAAGAAGACAGGACTATGCTTCAACTGTCAAAGACATTGTGATGTCAATATGAGCAGAATCAATACACAATGAAAGAAGTGCTTCAGATGGCACCACACACTATTACATAAAAAAAAATCAATTCAAAGACTGTTCAAACCATCAGTGCAAACAGCACTTTCAAACCCATCATCCAGTTGAGCTGATGGTGCAATCGTCGAAATACCAGTACATACCACCACATTGTTAGCCACAGCCTTGGCTTAAATTCTGTCAAATTCTACTACTATATGTTCGTCGTCTAATTGACACAGGTTCAACACTCATATTTAATAACGTATCAAATCGTCAGAATCATGACAATGCCAACCTACATTGGATGACAAAAATATCAACAAGAACCAAGATCCGGTACAACACTACTGGCGACGGAAATTAAATCAAATTATCACTGAGCTAATACAGACATTCATCACTGGATAAATTACTAAGAAGGACTTCCATTTGTTTAAAATTCATCACCCATTAAAAAAAAACATGAGCCGTCATTTACATTTCATATATCAAGGAAAGCTTTAAAAAAGAGCAAGGACCATAAGGATAATGGCAACACTTAAAGGCAGATTCTTGAGAACTCTCACACGAATCAAATCTCGCGCATCACACAAAAGGTTGTGAGACACAGGCTCACTCAATTCAAGACATATTTTCCCCAGACATTCACTAAAATTACGTTCCCAATTCATAAACCTGCTGTACTACCAATCCCGAAAGATAAAATTTAATCATCAATAAAATTGACGATGGCGGGCGGAATGTTCGAGATTGGAGCAACTTCAAAGAATTTAAAAGTCGGGAAAGGTACAAGCTCTCGGACGTTCATGTTTATAAACATGATTCTGCTAATTCGTAAATTATCTACGCCTTAATTTCAAATGTACTATAATATTTCCGTATAGCAACGTCGATGAAAATTCTCAAACCTTCCAACGCAGTGTCCTTCGACGTTTCTCGAATATTCTGGAGCTCAGTTTTCTGACGTCATCAACATTTTCGGCCTAGCAATAAGCCTAAGCGCTGTTGCCAGCGTTGCAAGCTGCTACGTAAATATTTAAGAGCAACTTGCCACGCACCGGGCTCACTGTACTATTACCAATCGTTCATTAAACTGTTATTGCGCACCGGATTTCTCAATCAAGTATCAGTTATAACTCAAAACTACGAAACTCAGCCGCATGCCTAGCAGATTTAATTTTACCAGAATTTAATTTTACCACAATCGACCATAAAATATTAGTAATTCAACAGTGAAGCTATATTTATATATATCTATATACTTATAACAACTAAGTGCGCCAAGCCAAGCAGTCACCAGTACGCAGTGTCGGTAGTTATAAGGTGTCACCAAACAATTATTCGTACAAGCAGTCATCCACGTTCATACCACGTTCATACAGAGTGTGCCACGAAAGGAACAAGTTCTTTCCCTTTGGAGCATATTTACGTCCTTTTGCGCTCCTCTTGGAGTATACTTCCGCGCTCCTCTTGGAATACACTTCCGCGCTCTCCTTGGAGTACAGTTGCACTCTCTCAGTACCTTCACTGCAGAAGACGCTCGTTCACTTTTCCAGTCCACATTAACTACAATACTCCCATACTCCCCTTGGAGTATGATCGATCCTGCGGCATACTGCTGCACGTAAATAGTCAACTATAATCTCATAATATTAAGTCCTTCCGTACTCGAAGGTATTTCATTTATTGCTTTTGCACTTGACTATCTTCCTAATACTCCCATACTCCCCTTGGAGTATGATCGATTTTACATGATAACTACCACAGAGACATTAACATGCTCCCCGTTTTGAGCATAATTAATTCTCTCTGTAAGCACTGCTAACTAACATTACCATCTTCTCATGCTTGTTGATGAGCATGGTCGACTGTCGTTGGTCGATCATGACGATCGAACATGGTCGATCTTTACAACATCAGCATAAACCCAATATTCAACATCCATTACTAATAACAATAATAGCAACGACATCGCAACCACTTCAAGAAAGCAACCTCACCTTTACCATAGAATAATTCCCTCTCTCCCATCTGAAGTAACCATAGTACTACAATATTGTAACTATTAATAAACCAGAATAAACCGATGTCTTAAATCAAAATTACCTACTGTACATGTCTTCTGCCCTTCCACATGTATTTTCCCTACGAATCTCTACGACGAGAAATTAATACCCTGAACTATTGAATTGGCAGTTCGAGCCACAAAACAAATCTTTAATTTTGAACATCTAGAATTCATTAATTTTTATCTAAAAATATCAATTTTATAATCAATGTCTAAATAAAATTTAGTTATTTCAGTTAAAATTCAATATTTAATAATAAACTACCATTTTTTGTTGTAGTACAGATTTTACTAGTTTTTTATTACTTATGAACTAATACAAAAGCAAGCCATTTACTGAAAAGTTATATACTTGTCAATAGACTTTATATAATAAATTTACTTACATTTATCGGATATAACATGAAACTGCTTTTCTTAAATTCATAAACGAATATATTGTATGACTGAAAGTATATTCACGTTTCTGGAAAAATAAAATATTTGGAAGTTAATATCATTGGTTTTATCCGTAATAGAAAATTATACTTTTCATCAATAGCATTTGCTGCAAATTTCACTAAGTTCTGAAATATGAAAATGCTCATTTCAATAAAAAATACATTGGATTGAACAAAAATAACATGAAAAAAGAAAAGTAAGTGAACTATTAAGTATGAAAATTTTAAATGGATGTATTTTTTAATTAAAATGTCTTTAATTTTTCTACATTAAAACATTTCTATTTAAAATTTACAATTTACCCTTTTTCACAATGAATACACAACATTCACATATCCAATATTTTTTAATAATATTTTTAAATGAACAAAATAGCTTGTGGCAGGATTTTTGTTTGCTTACAATTTTTATTACAATTTCATAACCTTAAAATATCATTCCTTTTCTTAATATTTTGAATATGCATATGCATATATATGATCTATTTATATGGTGTATGTGATGTATTATAGAATTTAGTGGTTATCATAGTATTTACTACTGGATCTAAAAAATTACAGTACTTTACAATTTCCATATATTTGCATTTTTTCATTCGCGAAATACAAATTTGTAATTATTGCATTGTTTTAAAGAATACATGTTAGTATGTCCTTTTAACAATAATGAAAAGAATTTAAATTTATTATGTCAAAACAAATTGATTACAGAACAAATATTTAATTTATTTTTTCTTATTTAAAAATTTATTATTACTTAAAAATATATATTACTTAAAAGTATATAATTGAAAATAGGTTACTTTTATAATTTGTTATTAAGTTAAGATAAATTCCAATAATACATCTATATTTAGATTTTGTAAGTTTGGCAACAAAGAGTGAAACGGGGGCGGACAGTATATAATATAAAAATAATTTTATATTTTAGTGCAAATATATATTATTTAGTAATTATGTCTTTTAAATAAATTAAAATAAATTTTATCCTAAACTGTAAAAAGAATAGTTTTGTTGAATATTTGAAAATGGATAGATTTGGATTTTTTAGTACTTTTTTTAAAAATTTTTACAATTTTTACTTTTAAAATTCATACAATTCTATCTTTTGGTATAATTAACTATTGAAATAACGCGCAATAATTTCTATGGATTTTTAAATCATTATTCATTTCAAGTATAATGTCTTTGTTTTACTGCCGAGTAAATTTATTATTTATACACTTCAAAGTGTGTTTCTTTTGATTTCCAGTGGTTTGTCATGGCCAAAGAGCCATTTTGATGGAGTAGTGACGTGGCAGCCGGTTACTCTGCAGGTGTAATTTCATAATGAATTGTAAGTGCATTTATTGTATAATTAATCTATTTTTCATACATGTGATAAAATTTAATATATATTTTATAATAAGTAAATTTTAATATTGTTTTTTCAAAAGAATCAGTTTGTATTTGGTTTTATTATAATTTTTTTATTTGTTGAATGTTTTATTTCCATTTTATATTTCGTTATTTATTTCTATATTTTTGAAATATAAAAGTAACAAACATTGTTTAATAACTATTTTCTCTAATTATACCACTATCATGAAATACATAATTTTTGAAAATATATTTGTAATTAAATATTTTATGTAGTCACTATATAATAATAATTATAATTTGAATATTATTAATGGATAATAATTTACAGAAGAATTTTAATTTCTTCCAATTTTATTTTTTTATTTGATATCATATAAAATATTTAAATTTAAAAATTTGATATTTTTATATCCTCCATACAGTTTATGTTGTACAGTTAAATAATTATATAGTTTATATTATTTTATTAATTTTACACATTATTAATTAATAATATTTATATAAATTTATTTATTTAAATAAGTTTTTTAAAAATTAAATTAAATTTAATTTAAAAATTAAAAATTAAAAACTTTTTTAAAAATATTCATTTATTTTTAATTTCAGTAAAATGGTACCTTTTATTTATTTCCACATTAATAAGTTCTTCAGTGACTCTTAATGTTTCATCTTCAACAAGTTCTTATTTAATGTTAGATGATAAAATCCGTATAAAGGAAATTTTGGCACCAGGTTTAGAATTAAGAGAATTATCAGAAGTTTATTATGCAGTGTCTGGATATAAACATATAAAAGAAACCATATCAAAAGTTGCTGTATGTTTTTAAATTATAATTTTATATTTAAAATTATTAAAAGTATAATTTTAAATGATGATATCATTTATTATTTTGAATGCTAATGATCTTTTGATTAGTCTTTCTGATTATAAATGAAAACACTTTATTTTAAAGGAATTCATTATATCCATATAATTAGTGTTTATATTTTAGGAAATATGTGAATTTTTGATAAAATCAAGTAATGATTCTTTAACAACGGAACAAATTTATTATCTTGCTTGTACATGGAAGTTACTTGAAAGATGTCAACCCAAGTCACTTCCATTAAGTTCATTAACAAAGGTTTGGAATAATTTTTAATTTAATTTTATAATAATATTCTAAGACTAATTGAAAATGATGTATATAAATTACTTTCGTTCTACTGTAATAAAACTGAAGATAATACTATTCTGATAAAAAAAATTATAAAAGCAAGCAATATTATAATTCTAAACGATACTCAATAATTTATGTATTTCTTATTTTCTTATAGACTTTAACTGCAGTATTAGAACAAGAAAATTCTGTTTCAGAATTATATTATGCTATTAATTCTCTTGTATCATTTGGTCAGAAGATTTCAGATGCAATAGTGGCCAAATTATTAAGAATTTTGCAGACTAGATTGAAAAAGGATGATAGTCCATTAAAGTATTTATCAATATAATTGTTAACGTTATGTAATTGTTAACATAATATTTTAATAACAATATTTATTATAGCTTAGGATATATTTTTCATATTGCTGCAAGATTGGGATCTGTTGGAAATTTTGCTTTTAATTATATCGAAGATGCTATTGTTCAAGCTGATGAAGTTGATGATAAATTTTTACAATTTGAGGGAGGACTTTCTATTACAAGTAATAATTAAAATAATTCAATTTTTTGTTTCAAAGAGATGCATTAATTCATTAATAATCATGATTTTTCAAATTATTTATTCGATATTTATTTTTATATATTTAAAAAGTAACATTATGTTGTATTGTCTTATAGAATCTGAATAGTTATTTTGTTTTTGAAATTAAATATATACATATATTTTTTTATTAAAATATATTTTATTTAATTTCATTTTTATATTTGTTTTTAGGTCATTTGGTCAATGGTATATTTAAACTTTCATCAATTTTAAAGAGAAAACCACCATTAACCTCTCATCAAATTGTTAAATTAGTGAATTATTTCTTATCACGCCGAACTGTACAAACACCTAAGGGTGCTGTAAATTTTCTTTCATCTATTAACATTTTAGCAACTAACGAATTTGAAAAACCAGTCTGTATTGCTTTATTTGAAGATGGTACTGTTGTTTCTATTAAGCAACCTCTTGTTCGTGTTAAGGTCTGTGATCTTCTTGGTAACTCCTTATCATCAATAATAAATGTAGTTGCTAATACAGCTACAAAAATAGGAGATGATACAGTTGTTATTAATAAGAAAACATTTCAATCAACTCCAAATGATAAGTATGTTTATTTTGTTTTGTGATTATTTTCCCAATAATTTGCTGAATTAGAATATTTTAATATCAGTTATACGCTTGGGATAAATTAAATGTTGAAATATTTATTTATTTTTAATTTATAAATAATTTATTTCAACAAACAGTGATGAAATATCTAAAAATTATAGTTGATAAAGCAATTATATCTATTTCTTTTCTAGAACATTATTTACCTTGAACTTTATGGATACCTTGCCTGAACCTGGATTTTATAAAATAGTATTGTCTGCAGCATCAGTGGTTAATACAGTTTCAATAAAAGTATTAACTGAAGTGAAAGTTGACTATTTAGAGATTGGAACAGCTGATGCTGATCAAACCACTCAGCCAAAATTAGTCAAGTATTTAATAAATATTAAATAAATTTGTTTATTAGGACTACAAACATTTGCTTATTAACAATTTTATTTTAGTGTTGTTAATTATAAAAAATTAAATGGGAAAATTGAAGCAGATTTTCAACAAAAACTTGTTATTCGATTTCTGTTAAAAGACGCTTTAAAAAATAAACCAATCAAAGTGCATCAAGCTTTTGTACGTCTTTCATCTTTGCCATTAAAGAAAAAGAATCGGGAAATTATATTTGTAGCAGAAGTAGATGCTTCTTATGTTTATAAATTTGATATGGTAATGAAATTATTAATATTTAAAAATGTATTTATTTTTTAAATATTTTTACTTATAAATTATGTATGCTTATATATATATATATATATATATACAAACTCATACAGCCTGTTGGTACAGCCGCAAAAAATTTTGATTATCAAAGTGGAGTTTATAGTATTGAACTAATTGTTGGTGATGCTGTTGTGAGTAATTCTTTTCAGTGGAATTTAGCAGCTGTTAATTTAAAATTTCCCGAATTAATAAGTTCAGAAGTTGTTGAAAAATCAACTTATAAAAGAGAGCCTGATATATATTTACCAAAGCCAGAAATTAAAGTAAGAAAGAATTTTAATAAAATATCTAAACAAACTCATTCAGTCACTTTTAAAAAAAATTATGGTATTGTTAATTTAAGTTTTATCATTATATTATTTTTTAATATTATTTTATTATACAATATAAAGACATTTAAAAATGAAATATTTAAAAATTTTTTCATAAGATCAATAAATTGCTAAGTATAAATTATCTTATGATAAATTATTTATTTTGAAACTTGTGTAACACAAAATATATTAAGACCCTGTATTTTTAGTTCTTGTTTAATGAATTTATTTTCATCTACGTTTTATGTATTATTAAATAATTTTATATAATAATTATATTAAAAAAATTTATAAAAAATAGATTAGATAAGAATTATAAGATACCACAACTACATTTGAAAAATTGTTATAATTGATATAATAGAGTACAATTACAAATACTATAAAAAGTATCCAAATTTTAAATTTTTATAAAATATTTTAACATGGTAGATTTTAAACAATTTTACAAAATAAATTTTTATCTTATTAAAATAAACAATTAGTAATGATTTTGAAATATTCTTATATAAGAAAATCAATTTTATTATTAAAATTATGTATATAATTAAAGTACAAAAAATTATGGTGCATATTAATGTATCAATTTTCAAACATTCATATATAAATCTCGTAAAAAATTACAAATATACATGTGCTTAATTTTTTTTTTTAATTCATTTTTCTCAACTATTAATTGTATTGAAATAATATTTCAAGTTATTTGACTGTGTAAAAATTTATAAATTTGGCTTGCATAATATTATATTAATATTATTATATATTATATTAATTAATGTTATTAAAATTATATCAAAGTATAATTTATAGTCTAATTTTCTGTAATTAATTTTTCATTGGTTAACAAATTGATTTAGTTTTTCTATTAACGAATACTATCTAAATATTTGTTAATTTGACAAAACAAAGTTATCTAGTTAAATATACATATGCAAATATAACATGTATTATAAAACTTCATTTATTTTTAGCATATGTTTCGAGAACCTGAAAAACGACCACCTGCATTTGTTTCAAATTTGTTTACTGCACTATGTTTGTCACCAATTCTACTTTTGATAATTTTATGGGCTAAATTAGAAGTTAATATATCTAATTTCCCATTTTCTCTAAATGCCATTGTTTTTCATTTAGGATTAGGAAGTAAGTAATATTTTTATAATGAATTAAGAGATATTTAAAAATTTTTCAATAAATTTAGCCTGATGCTTGACAACTTAATTCATTTCTATTGATTTGTTGTTTTCAGTTGGGCAAATAATATATGGCGATTTTTCACAAATACAAATTTTATATTTTATTGTATTTGCATGCTATTATTACCTACATAAAAAAATAAAAGAACATAAAATGATAAATACATATTTAGCATATAAAAATATTTAATCTCGTTACAGGTATATTTGTATTGTTTGGAGTATTTTGGTTAAAACTAAACATGTTTACTACACTTCGATACCTATTTGGACTAGGATTAATCACTCTTCTTTCTGGCAATAAATTACTGTCGCAAATTGCACACAATCGTAAAACGTCTGGTTAATTCTTCATAAAATTTAATTTTAATTATCAATTTTAATTTAATCTAACAGAGATTATTAATTTGGTTTAATATAGTATTATAAACAGTGGAATATAATTTAAAAGACAAAACAATCTTAGTATTCAATTAGAAAAATCTAGTTAATTTTAGTAATGAATTACATAAAAATATAATGTGTAAATTGTTTCATATAAATCATTTTACTTTGAACATCTCTGTTGTTATACATAATTTTCATATGATTAGAATATAAAAAATAGCTGAATTAATGTCTTGTAAATGTTTGACAAAATATGTAGTTTTTCTTATAAATTATGATGCATTATTCAATAAATATTTTAAAAAATTTGATTTTTTATTTTCCAAATAAAATCTAATTATCAAAATTCTTAAATAATGTATAAAATTTAGTTTATATATAAAAGATTTAATAAGAATGTGAAATAAATTTTATTTAATATATATTAATTAAAAGTGTATATATATTTATATATATATAGAGTTCAATATGTATAATATTAAAATTATTTTTACTTTTTAATAAAAACTCTAATAATATTCTATTTTTATTATATTTCTATATTCAATAATAAATTTGAAACATTATTCATATATTGTTTTAAATGATTCTTCAAATTGTTTGATTCTTCATTTAGTTTCTTCATTTGATATATTAATTTAATATTATCGTTTCGTTTCACAATGGCAAGATTTAAAAGTTTTTGTATTGGTTGTATTTCTTTAATTGTCTAAATATATAACATTAAATCTTTAAAAATTGAGTACGATGTAAAGTGAAAGAATAAAGAATTAGAAATTTCCTACTTACGTCATAAATTTGATTGGTTTCTAAGAATTTTAATATTTTTTGAGAAAATTTTTTATAGTTTTGAAACGAAAGTGGATAAAGAAAAATGTTTTCATTAAATGTTTCATATTTGTGACATAAGTTTATCATAGTCAGGATTTGTTCAAGCTTTGTTAGACATTCATTGAAATATGTTATAGTTACATTATATTCTTTATTATAAATTCTTAATTGATTTTGAATCCAAGTTTGTTCTGTAAAATAATATATGAAATTGAATTTTATTTTATTCTTAGAAAATATTTATTAGTTTATAAGTGGAAAGTCATAGTGAGGCTTCAAAAGTAGTACATTTGGAATTACAAATTTTCATTTATCAAGATTTAAACATTATAGATAAAACTTTAAATGTTTAAAATTTTTAATAAAATAATATGAATTTTTTTTTGCAATATACCAAAGTTTAATTCTAATGTTTTTAATAATTACTTTCTCATCTGATTTATCAAAAATTATTTTGAATAATTTAATAATTAGAGATAGTGTCTAAGTAACTGAAAGAATTAGTGACAGTATCAAGTTACCATTAAAATCATACCAATTATGAAAGTAATTTAATTTTTGTTTAATTAAGCTTTTTACAAATTATTATACAACACACAATTATTTGAATATATCTGTGTGCGACTGTTCATATAAATTATAAAATCTTAGTGTCAATATAATTGCTGTACCAAGGGTAAAAGTTGGAATAATTCATTAAAAATGGATAACTACTTTGTTTTATTTATAAAAAGGTTATTACAAATAGTATTATTAAATCAAAACATTATTAATTAAAATATAAAAAAAAATTCAAAACTTGATCCACATAAGATGAATTTTAATGACCTATCGTATATTTATTTCAAATATATTAGTTTGCAATGTTGAAATTAATGAGTTGTCTGTCATTATATTTAATACTTATAAATTATTATCCGATTTTTGTTTTCAAATAATAGAGGTATAAAATAAAAATATATTCAAATTTGATTAAAACTTTTTAAAAGAATTAAGTAATTAAAGTTTCACTTGATTATAATTCATAATTATTTCAGTATATAATTATTTTAGCAATAGGTATATTTTGATTTATAAAAATATATTTGAAAAATTAATTCTTCAAAGAAAACAATATTATTTTCTAAAACATTTGATATGCAAATTTTAAAAATATATTAATTTATTATTGTAATCTTATTAATAATTAATAATGTATTAAAAGTAATAAAAAATTTTTTAAATTATGCACAATTAAATATATTCCATATATATTCAATATTATAAAATTAATTTTTTTCTAAAGAACAAAAACTTTTAGAAAAATTAAATTTAAATAACATATAAAATAAAATAATGCACCAATTAAAAGTTGTTTTTGAATTCTCATATATGAATTTTTAAAATAATTTTGCTCAAATATATAATCTGCAAGTATTTTTTGTTTATTCATTTGAAAATTGACCATTTTATTTTTAAGGGTTTGTATTGTTTCAGAAAGTTTTTCTATGTGTACTGATTGTCGAGAAATAATTCCATAATCTTCAATATATTTTACATTAATAAATTGTAAATCCTTATTTTTGTCTTTTGTATCTATTGAATTTATACAAAATAATATAATTCATTTAGCTTACATTTGTTTTAATAAAATGAATAAATGAAAAACGTTACTCAGTTCATGGTTGTTTAAAATTTTTCTCAATCTCTCTAAAAACTTATGTGAATATCGTCTCAAAATAATTTCTGTTAATTTATGTAAATTTTCATTTTCTTCCTTTTGAGTATTCACTTTAGCTAGAAAAGATAACATTTTAATCAACTTAAATATTAATAAAAGTAAAACATTTTTTGAATGATCTGAATTATTGTCTTGTATTATTAATAAATATATTTAATAATTGAATATTCATTAATTGCCTTGAAATGAAATTGGAATAGACTATATGTATTGACGTATATCATATGCAATATACTATTTATTTACGTAAAAGTTTTGAATAATATTTTACATTACTTGTACTATTCAATAGGTATCTGGGATCAGACTAAAAGCCTCCCTGTGATGGTGGATGGAGGCTTACTGACAAGTGGAAGGGACAATGCAATAATTCAACACTGCCTTTTGAGTATAGTGTCTTTCCTTTTATTGAATATAATGAATATAATAAATAGTCAGTGGTCTATGTATGTCGAAATGAATGTATGATACAATGAATAGATGAGTTTCTTCAATTAATATGAGCGACAAGAATCCTGTAATTGTATTCTTGGTAGCTTGATGCTTGATTCTCCTACTCGTAGTTATGAACTAGTGGTGGTGGGAGACTCGCGATGATGCCGTCTTTACCGCTGCCGAGAAGAGCTGTAGCGGCCTGAGTGGGGGGCGCCTGTTTGACGTCACTGATAAGGAGGCAGCGTGGGTCTGCCGTTGCCGTTAGTGAAATGCACGCTGTAGCGGTTTAATGGAGGGAGGATATCCGTGTCACGTCACTGCTTGACGGGTGGGAGGATTACTCGTACCGTATACCATGTATTAGTGTTGCTGCTTACTTAGTTGGTGGGAACCGTGTGTTAGTGATCCGTAAAACCGTGTAATAGTGTAGCTTACGTGTGTGGAGTCGATCTCAGTTGCATTGATGATACGTAAGAACGTGTGTAATAGCGTGGTTTACGTGTGTTGAGGTCGATCTCTGTAGTAGCGTTGGTAGGCCGAGTGAGCTTAGCTTCCGTTGAACTGTAGTCGATCTCTGCAGCGTTCGCGGGCCGAGTGAGCTTGGCTTCCGTTGGGCTGGAGTCGATCTGTGCAGTGTTGGGTGGCCGAAACTAGGTTGGCGTACGTTGAGCTGGGTTCGATCTGTAGGACGCCGATCCTTTCTCATTAAATATCCTAATACAGGCTTGCGATTCCGGTGAATTCTGGATCACTCTTGTCATGCTGATTGTTAGAGTGACGTCACTAGAGTCTAACCTTGGAAAGTTCGTCGGCCCTTGTTAGTCGGAATTGTAATGTAAATTCGACTAATTTGAGTAGTGAGGTTTCCCGATTTTGCTGAATTGTGTTTATGACTCGGCGAGCAAATGTTTCTAACTAAGCACGGGTATCTTTACCTCTCCTACTTTGTTTACCGCGTAAAATTGCTGTAATCCGCAACAATAGGTTATACTGAAATTTTTGAATTTATGTTATAAAAGTTTTCATAATTTTCCTTTTATATATATTTCAATTTATATAAAATAGAAAAAGGAAAATAATTTTTATGACGATATTTTTAATTTTTTATATCTATATTTAATTAATTTTAGTAATTTATTTGATTACAATGTTTAAATGATATCACCAATGTTTAATTCATAATGTTTAATCAATAATACTTATTTTTTAGATTATTTTATTCAATTAGTTAATCATTAAGTAATAATCAACTAAATATAATTTCCAAAAATGTGTATTTTATAATAATATCGCATAATTGTGCTATAAAAAAACATTTTAGATGAAGTTCATGCTATTTGTGATATATTTAACTAGTAAATGTAAAAAGTGGGACAAATGATATGCAATATACAATCCGTATTATATAGGTAGATATACGGACAATGTAACTATTTTTGTGAAGATTAATGAAATTAATTCAATAAAATTAAAATTGGTTATATTTTAACAACACTACATCATTTCTCTTGAAAATGTTATTTTCGATTTATTGGTTTATTACACAATTATAATGTATTAAGTTACAAATAAGAATATTAATCATGTCAATATTAGAAGGAAAAAATATTTATATATATAACTTGTAAATATAGTTGACTGTTTTAAATAAAAAAAGTATGCATATAAAATATATACTTTTATTATATTGATTCAAATATAATAGTTAATGCATCAGTAAATTATTCCTAGTTATTTATTGCCCGTTGTACAAAATGCAACTCATCGTTCCGACTTGTTTTATCAAGGCCGGTTCGACGGATACAATTTGATGCCGTTGACAACTCAGAGATCACGGGTGTTGTGTGGTAGCGATGACAGGTCACAAGTAGAAGGCATATTATAATAATACAATAAAGATATGGCTGAAGTATGCTATTTATTCTGTTATTTATTAATGACAAGGTTGACTAGTAATACTATTATTAATTATGAAAATAATTCTTGTGGTGGAAGTGATGTGTTTGCGGTGGAAAACGTATGCTCATCTACGCAGCTTGATGGTTTGAATGTGAATGTAGAATGGCGCGAAGTTTCGTTCGTCGACATAGCGCTGTTTGAATGAGTACGTGTGTGGCTGAGGTTATGGATGCAGCGTAATAATTGAGTTTTACCGTAGTGGCGCGAAGCTTGATTCGTTGACGCTCGCGCTGGGTTTTGCTTACTTCCGTAAGCTTCCGATTGAACTAAGGTGAAGGTTACTAAAATGAGATGCCCCTGTCGAGCGCAAAACTGGACGGCACGTACTGGAATTTATTCCGCACTGTCATATTAAGAGTAGCTTCCTCGTCCTTAGTGCTTGTCGATGTAATACTCTGAATGTCAATATATATATATATATATATATATAATTATTGTAGTAGATACTACTTACAAAGACTAATCGTTGACTCGTCGTCGGACTCTGATAGGCGGATTGTCGTCGCTCCCTTGGAACATCTAACGATGGTTTCTTGAACTGCGTTAGTGGACATACGGGCTTATGTCGTCGTTCTTCCGGGGCTTGTGACTACTGTTCCAATACCAATGTTAATGGACTATCCGAAAAAGTGTAAGTCGTTTCCCGCAATAGAGTTAAATCGACTTTCACTAAATTTAACTGAGTATGAAATGTCTCAAGGGTTTTAATATATTGAGAGAGTATTACTAAAAGAAAGAGATATCAAATATACTACTAAGCAAGAGTTATCAAAAAAAAGGAGAGACACTTCGAAAAAGAGTAATATCACGAAAATACTACTAAAGAAACTATCAAGAGTAAATATCAAGACAGTTAAATATCACGAGAGAGTATTAAGATAGTTGAGTATCAATAGTAAATGAGTATTGAAAATTGCCCCCCTTAAATACATTTGCTGACCATGAATTTGACGTGAACCCCTTCCCATATTTTCTATCCAATCAGAGACTCCTCCCTTATGGTGCGAGGTTAGCACCTCTTTTGGCTTCGGAGTTAATTAAGGGCCTAGTCGTTTCTGGGTCTTCATCTGGTGACAGCATTGCAACTTGTAGACAGCGGGAAGGAAAAGGAAGGTCTGCTTGCAGTAATACTTGATGTAGTTACCAAGCGGACCGAACCAGATGTCTAAACTATAGGTTTTTCCAGATGTTTTATGACACTAGTGCTTGATAATTTTGAGCAACTGAAGTTTTGAAATTCAAATACAAATTTTACGATGTTACTTGCCAGATGTTTTATTGCGCTGATAAAAAGAAAAAATGTTTTCGCATTCTCGAACACCCGTAAATAAAAGAAATTATAAGTTAGTATAATATATATGTATATTTATGCATAAAATTTTATTATATTAATATATGTCATCTTATGGACAAGATCATATTTAACGATTGTATTTATTATTAATATTTTTAAATATAATTATTAAAATTTTCAATTCTCTAAATTTAAACAAATTATATTTTAATAAAAGTAATGACGAATATTCTTTTTTGTAGAAGTGGCGTATTATCATTATTATTTATTTTTTATGGAATATTTTGACGAAGTTTACACTAAAATTGGACGCACTTACAAAACCTAAAATTTAAATGTACGTACTACATAATTCCTTCATTTAGTAGTTCATTGATTGTTTCATGCGTTTTTCCGAATAGGAGAATAATTAAGATAAGCGAATAGGAATGTAAGTCAAATAATAGTGCGGAATTATAATAAATTGTTTATTGTTGTTCGAAATATCGTAGGGATGTAATTCTTGGCTCGAACTGCCAATGCTTCAATAGCTTAGTTTGCCGCCCTCTGTAGCAGACGCTCGGGAAGGGGTGAGATGTAGGAGCTGTACAAGAGTCGTGAGAGTTGGTTAATTATATTTATTATACAATTTATTACACTATTTACATATGGATGTTGTAGAATCTTCTTGTATCTTATATGAAGATATGATTTCTTGATTGGCTTCTTACATAGGAGGTGTTACTACACAAGATGTCTTGAAATCGTTTAATTGATGTAAATTGTACAGGTAAATAATTGCTGCACACTTTTGAGTGGAGAGTGTGAGACAATCTTGATGATTGTCTTATGGCCGGTTCTATTGCCGGCTCACAATAATTGAAGAGAAAATGTATATCAACGTACTTACAGCGATATCGTAATTCAATCTGATTCAGCGGTGAGAGGGACACGAATCATGTGCGGCGTGACTCCTTTACTCACCAGCATAAACTATTCTTGTCGCGAATTACTAGCACTTATTTCTGTGTTGAGTGAATTGTTAGATTTGGCTTTCTTGGACACTTTATTTCTATAATTTGACCTTTCCCTAGACTGCTCACTCTCACTCTGGATGATTTGTTCTTTTGTCTCGGAAGGGTGCCGGTTTTCTTCCTTAGTCCAACATTTAAAGCTTCTTGTCGCGAACCCCCACTCAAGGAGTTCTCGTTATAGTTTTCCAATCAGAGCGTGCCGATTTCCAAACGTATGCTGATTGTACACGCCCTTTTCCAACTTCCGAGGAAATTAGGCATTAACAGGGGGATGTCCGAAGAGCATCTTTGGTGGTAACGCCTTGCGTGGAAGTTTGTCCCCTTTCCTGGAGTGACCATAGTGGGGGTAATTCGT